ACTTGGTTCATTTTGGCCTTGAACCCTTCTTGGTTCTGCAAGTGTTTTGAGAATTTAAGCCTTTTAATAATTCTCATTGAAGCGGCCCCACTTCACACTTACATAGGTGACCTCCTATAAAGAGTATTTTGCCCTACTCCACTTGACTTAATCAAGATATAGGAATCATTAAAAGATTATCTTAACCTCTTCCAACTCTGCAGAAAGCACTTTGGTATCATAGGAATGAGTTAGGAAATTATTTCCTAAGTGCTTCATGGAATCCTCATAACTTAGTTGTCCTTTTGAACCAAGATCTTAGGATCTCCATTCAACAAGGTAGGATTACCATTACAAGGACTTTAACGTAGTAGGCTTTACCTCATTCCCTTCGATATGCAGTATTCTTGATCTCTCCTAGTAAATCTCTTTAAAGGTACCACGAGTTTACACCATTGAGATCAACTGCTTGGCGGTATTATGTCTTACCGTTACATGTGACTTAGTATCTCTATCAAATGTAGCTGGCCAGCGATTGATTTATTTAATAGATACACATTGTCACAGCTAAGAAATCCTCTCATGAAGCTACATGCTTCTTATTAGCTTTATCTAAAGCTATTTCAAACGCGATTTGAGGATTTTCTTATAGTCAATCATTTCTTATAGTTGAAGGGTGTTCAATTTCTAATATTGAACTGTCACAGTGTATTTGAACCTTATGAATATTCTTCAAATATTTCAATTGTTCTTGCTTCTTCTAGCCCTTCCAGTAACTGACTGACTACCACAGGTATACTTATGGAACATCTTTCAAAAGTTACGAAGCGAAGTTGTTTTGCTTCTTTTTCGACTTTATCTGACGCAATGAACTCAGATTCCATAGTTAATTGAGTTATAACATGCCTTGTCAATTCCATAGCAACTCCACCAAGGATAACAAAATAACCACTTGTGGACTTGGAATCCTTCATGTCGGATATTCAATTAGATTTCAATATCCTTCGAATACCATAGGATACCTTATGAAATGTAATCCACGGGTCATAGTATACTTTAAATACCCAAGAACCCTACTCGTGGCACCCAATGATTATGGCCTGGATTACTCGTGGATTTACTAAGTTATTCACAGCAAAAGTAATATATGGTCGAGTGCAGTTCGTAATATATATTAGACTGCCAATCATTTGTGAATACCTTAGTTGTGACACGTTTCCACTCTTATTTTAACCAAGTGTATACTTGTATTAATATGTGTCTTGAATTATTTCCCGCAAATACTTAAGTATTTTCTCTATCATAATGATATTGGGAAAGTACAATTCCTAGAGATCTTTATCCCTAGTATTACTTCTGCCACACCCATGCCTCTCATATCGAAATGCTTCGTTAGCATTTTCTTGATGTTTACCAACACTTCGTGGCTTTTGCCTAATATACAATTACATAGGCATTTGGTGTATTCACGTATACACACTTGTCACATTAGTTCATTTTGAATCCGTTTACAAGTTTTATGGCTTTCACTTTGGAGAAACGAATCCTCCAGGTTGCTCCATGTATATCTCCCATTTAGGAGTACCGTTCTCACATCCATTTGATGAATCTCAAGGTTATATATAGATTGCCGCAGTTGCAATTAGTAACCTTATCAAAGTAACTCTAGTTATGTATGAGTGGATATCAAAGAAGTCAAGTCCTTCTTTCTAACCCTCTTACTACGCCTTGGTTCTTTTTAATTTGAAGATCCATTTGTAGCTTCATAAGTTCTCTTATTTGAACTTACATTTCCTTTGTCTTTGCAAGGAATAATTCTAAAGAATATTATACTTCTTTATTCCACTATGGTACCCTCATGTACATCCAGTTTGTGTACAGAAAATGATATGCATTACTATTTATTGGTGTATCCAATAAATATGCAATCAATCACTTTGGGACCAATCTTTATTTGTTAGGAACTTCGACCTTTGCCAAACATCCCCACACTTTTACATGTTGATAGGATGAATGATGACTTTTCCACAACTAATATGGAGTCTTTTCCATTTTCTTGAGAAGTACAGAAAAGTGTAACTTTAAGTTACCCCCACAATTCCTAAATTAGGAATGTACGTACGTTTTGAACCTTTCGTATAAGTTCTCAAGCATTTATGATAACCCCCAGCATGAGATTATCTCATTTAATTATGTGGCTATCAACATTTCAATAGAACATGAAATCAACCATCAAGTTTATCAAGTGATTCTCGTATTCCAATGGAATAAGTAGTCATGAAATTTCATGAGCTTTCAACATATAGTAGGAATCCTTCCACATTTATGCACATCCTTTAGACCCATTAAATATTAATAGGTTGGTCTCAAAACACAAATATAGATGTGCTTTATTAGCATTTCAAAGTCCATAAACCAACATAATGGCAAATGCATCGTGCAACAAATGTGATAACCCACATATTGGAATTATTCACCGAATAGCAACCATAGCCAGATAATTTTCTAGCCACCACAATTGGTATAAATTGCATTTTTAAAGTGTCATGCATATGAGCCATTCCCAATTGTCATAGCAAAGTGAGAATAATCAATTAATCAAAATTGATTTCCGCAAAGGTTTATCCAAAATTCAAACCTTTATATAGATTCATTAAATGAATACACTAATCCAATTCACATGATTTTAGACTTTCAAAGAGACACCACCAACGTGCCTATTTATCGTGAATGAAATTTCCTTGCGGACAATTTCTATCGTGGATTAGTGTTTGCCAATTCCACCCATTAGTATATGAAAATTCTGGAAATGACATATAATAAGGACAATCACATGCAATCTGACATTTTCCTTCCTTAAGTGAAGAATATGATCCAATTCTTCTCCAACCGGAAAACATTGATTTCATCATGCATATGCATTTGATCATCATCAATTTACCACGTACTGGATTTTTCATTTTGGAAATGCCATGCAATACTCCAATCCCAATTTTTAAGAAATTATTGGAGACAAATCATGCTATGGTATCAAGAAATACACATCTAATGTGCCTATGTTGAAATGGAAGCAGTATTTTACTTCATTTACATTTAAGGCAACATGTCACTTTTATGCAATTATTCTGTCAGATTAGCACAATTTATTTGCATAAATTTCCATAAAGACAGTGCAAAATTAATGGTTCCTTTCCATGGTGTATTTATCACCACCGTCAACGGTTGCCGGAACCACCATATAATTTTAATTGTCGACACCATTTCAAGTTTCAATAGATCAAAGATGCAACATAAGTTATATTTTATTCTTGCAAATTCTGGAACTTACAACCGAAAGGCAC